GAATAAAAGTAAACCAGGTTTTTTTCAACCCTGGTCCTCAAGGCCCACTGGCATGTTTTAGACGTTTCGCCTGATTCAGATGATTGCAGTTCAACAAAGGCCTGTTAATCAGTTATCATTTGAAAACAGCTGTTCTGGAAACAACACGCAGGACGATGAGAACAAGGCTTGAAAAACACTGCAGTAAACACACTTCAGTTTGGCAGCAAAAAAATAAAAAGCTTCACAAACACAAACAGCATCTCAAACTGCAGCTGCCTGAGAGCTAACTTCAGTTACAAGAGCAACTTACATTAACTGCAGCATGTGGCGCCAAGTGTAATATGAAATGTTTTTTTAAAATCATTATTTAGCTCACTTTTTCAGTGTTAAACTTTTCCACTAACATTTTATTATTTATCTCACTGTTAATACATCTAGATAATTTTTACTAAACGTTCGATTTACATGTTGAAAACATAATTAGGTATTAAATTCTGAATCTAAATGTTTAAATTTAAATGTTAAAGTTAAATCTTAGATGTTGAAGTTCACATTTATTTATTTTGGAATGGAACATTTTATGACATCATCATCCTGAGACAACTGCTAGCACTCCATTGCAGCTAAAGCTTCCCTACAAGACATCAAACTTACAGTTATGGCTGGTGTCTGAGCTGCACTTCAACCTGCTGGACCACAGGGACCACCCATACTGTTTTTATCAACACATTTTGAATTTGGATTTTAAATACTGTTTTTATGTGTTCCCTCTCACAAATGTAAGGTAATCTGAAATCACCTGTAGATGACCCCCTCACTTGTTTTTATCAGCACCCTGTTAGGAGGCGTTTATAATCAACCCAGCCATTCAAACATCAAATTCATACTTTTTTTTTTGTTTTGTGCTATAATCTGGATTTAAGTGGAGTGGCTCTAATCTCGTTATGCATGCGTGTAATGTCAATAAAGGCATTCTATTCTATTCTAAATATTTTAGTTTCCATAATAATATCCAAATACCTCAACAAGTCACAATCTCCTGATCACATCAAGACTAAAGTATCATTTGTTTGTGTTGATACTGGGTTTAACTTCTTTAAGATGCAAATAACTTAAGGTTTAAATTTGAGATTACCGTAGTAGTTTAGCAGATTTAATTCAGTAAAACTAAATAATCTCTGGTGACACTTGTGAAGGTGATGATCTCCAGTAGAGGACACCACCGGCAAACTTTTGACTTGATTTAATCGACGAGTTGGGGTCGGGACCCAAAGTGGGGTCCCGAAACATCAAGGTGGGGTCCTGAAAAGATTTTCTGAATTAATTACATTTTTGCCTTAGATGTTACAAATTACTGAGGTTAGTATATTTAAAATGGATAAATGTAGTATAAAAATATTGTTACTATGCCCATGTTTAGTTGACCTGATACAAATG